ACTAGTGTAGTTTTTAATTTAGTAATTTTCACTACATTTAAACTGATAATTGTAGTTAGATCGTTATTAGCATAATTTTTATATAATATTACTTGTAGATTAAATAGAGGTCCACATCAGCCTCTGGCTGTCTTTAATTTAACCTATTTCAAATAAAGTATGTATGTATGTATATATGAAACAATAGATGATTTCTTGAACCAAGTTAGCGTAATTCCAAAAGACACGCAGTCACAGTAACATCCTTGTATCGTGCTAACGATGCTAGAACGCATGCGTATGACTTATTAGGGTTCTACCACAAGGAGAAGCGCTCAACGTTAGTGTGTGATCTTGTATGAAATGTATCTTCCACCTGATATATGTAGTTGACTCTAATGCTTATTAATCTGCGCATGCGTTTAGAGCAAATATTGGTTTTGTTCTAAAGAGAAAAGTACCACAAGGAGAGCAATGGGCTTTCTGAAACAAATATCTAGCTTGTTAAAGTGATCAAAGAAGTAAGGTAGGTACATGCATCATCCATTTCACGTAGTGCTCACAAGTACCTACCCCTTCCGATCCCCCCTTGCTGCAAGCCTAATTAATTAATTGAAATTAATTAATCAGGATTTCCGATACTGCGGTAATCCCGCGTTTAAATCAGAGATGGCCCCCAGAAAAAAGGAAAAAAGTGCCAATTTTGCCCTTTCCTTTTGCAAGACTGCAGGCTTAACACAGGCATAATATTTTTAAAGCCACCCCAGGGCTCGGAATTGTGATCGATATGGTCGCCAATGCAACAAGCATTTTAACCTGCGATCACGGTTTTTCTTTTTTTTTGGAATGAAGAAGGGAAAAGGGAGAAGGGAAAAAAAAACGCCCTCCTTCCCCACCTCTGAATATAAGGGAGGGAGGGTATGATCGCAGGTTACAAGCATTTCATCCTTGGCGACCAAAAATTCTGGTTTAGTCGCCATAATACGGCATAATGGTGACTACATTTCTCTGTGTTGACGATCAATAAAGGTTATTTTGTCACACATTATGTCCTTCTAGAAAATCACATTGAAAGATCTTTGCTTCTAAAACATTCAACATAAGAGAAGAAGTCAATCCGTCCTTTAACTTCGCAGTATTGATTCTCTCACATCAGAAAACTTCCAAATGGCTGACCGTGTTTGAAATCGCCCTGTAATGAATTGCAAACCCTTGATCATTGACTACGTCATGTATGCCTAAGGACTGTTCTCTTGTAATGCACGGATCCTTCATACTAGTATCTGATTCAAAAGCAACTTTATTGAATACAAACAATTCAAAAAGCACTTACTATTAAATTTTATCATCGATCCTAATAAACTGCTTTATTTTTCTTGGTATCCTGATGCATTTTTTCCTTCTGTAGCTTTCAATTTATTGGCCCCTTTCCTAAAAAACTGGCCCCTAAAAAAGATCTTCGGGGGCCACTTTGGCCCTCAAGTAAAATTTTCTGACTGAAACACTGATTAATTAAACAAACACGAGAGTTTACACCTTATTTCCATAGTGCCATATTGCCATATTGCCATAGTGCCTTATTGCCATAGTGCTTTAGCGACGTCAACCCCCAAACCATCCCAATAGTGCACTCTGCACTAAAAATGAGCTCAAGTAATGTTATTATTTTGCAGGCACTCAAGGTAATCGCAGTCCAAAAACCCACAATTTAATGTATCTTTAAGCCACACATTGAGGATATTTCCCTCTTAGAGCAGCATGCATATGTAACCACTGCGTTCTATCTGCGAATAGCCAAATATAGGGCAATGAATCAGATTCGCAGATTTCCACTAGAACACACCAATGGACAGTGGGAAAGCCGATTTTGAAACTTGTACTCCCAGCAGTTTCACCAGTAACTATCAGTAACTAACACCGACTAACATCAGCTATTTTTTGAGCTTGTTCAGTTTCTTTATGATAGTCAATGATCGTTTTCCCTGTTTAAACTCACACATGTCTTCAGTACCAATGAGTATGCATTTTTCTATACCTAACAGGTCTCGCTTACATGAACTGAGATAAAATCTAGGCAGTGCACAAATTTAATAGACTGGATAATTGAACAAGTTTGTTCTGGAACTTTTTTATGTGATGGGGTTCAACATTGTTACTGCAAAAACACAAATGGCAGATAATTACAGGTTAACGCACTCAGTGAGTGAATTATCGGGATTTACCTGCACGAGTTCACTAACAATGAACAAGAAATTTCAATACTGCAGCAGGTTTTGCTGAGTGCGGTATTGAAAGGTTCGAGTTCATTGTTAGTGAACGAGTACAGGTAAATCTTGATAATTCACGAGTACTGAGTGCGTTAACATTTTTATTATTCAAATTGAATACACTGTGCAAAGAAACACTGCATTGAAACCACTATATTTGAGTCAACCCAAGCCATGATGTAATGACAGTGGTGTGTTGAATTTACACCACGCCTATTACACGACAATAATGACATCAAGGTGCTTGTCTCATCACAACCCAGTATCACGTGATACAAATCAGCCAATCAGAAAATCAGAATTCATGCAGTGTATGAAAGTTGAATAATAAAATGTATTATTGCATGTACATCTACTTTGCAAGGATTAATTTTACCATACCCATCATCACCCACGGTCCTTTCTCTCACAGCCTTTGTCTCAAAGCCACCGGCTCCCCACCATGTGTCTTCCCCGTCTTGAGGTGTTTCAAGAAGCAACACAGCTGCATTGAAAGGCTCTGATTCCTGAGTTAAAAAGTGGGCCAAGGGCACAGCAAACAGCCAGGAGTTAAGATGACGATGATTCTTTGCAGCATATCTGCAGATGGCTTGAATTGACTCACCTAACTCTCTGTTGAAAATATTGTTAAAGACATATGGTATTCATTTCAACTTCATGTAAATGGTTGTTAAACTGCCAGAATGTGATTGATAACACAACGATTCATATACTACACATAATTATTATTTTTTCAACAATTGTTCAATAAATATACCATTTCCTTACACTCTCCATCCAAAATATGCTGAAGCTATGAGGCAACACTTATTATGTACTTTTATTCACTAATATAACATCAACAGTTAAATTATGAACTAGGAATTTCTATGAGGATGGAGGATGGTGGATGGGGCTGAATGGAGCATGAGTTATCATCTCGTAGAAATTGAGAGCGAATAATCTAATTGTTTTAGAGAAGTTCTGACTACATGTCCTCAAATAATGCTTTCCATGCATCTCTATACACAGAAGTAGTAATATACACTTTTGGATCTAAAACCCCCATCAAAACTGCTCCAATTAAATGTCAGAAGTGCCAAAATAAAGTGACAGATGTACATTAGCAAAAAGTGAAAGTTCAGCACAAAACTCTTGTACACAAGAGGGCTAGTCTGGTTGTCATGGCTTGTCTGAGATTACAAGACTGTTTTAAAATACTGTAACTATGTATATCAGAAATGGCGATCAAATCATGATTCAATACCAGGTTTCTTAGCCAGGCAACCTCATCAAAGTTATAATTATAGAATGACCTTGAAGAAAAATTATTGCATATTATGTTATTAATAATTACCTCCAATGCGCATCAGGAAAGTTATGTAGTAGCTTGTTAAATGCTGAACAGGTATTTTCTTCAGTATCAGACCAAAGAGATAATGACATCAAAAGCTTGTGATAATCTTCAACATCAAGCTGTACTTTGTGCGATGTAATGATATGACAAATGGCTACTGCTAAAACTAGGCAAGAAAGCCTTGTTTCCTCATCCACATCCACCTCCCGAAGAGTAGCATTCTGTTCAATTTTAGGCTTCAGGTAATCCCTCAGAATCTGAATGAGAATACCAAAGTTTAAGTCCAGAAATGCAGTGTACAGTACAGTGTGCAAAATATCACTAGCCTCCAAGACACCTAGAATTAGAAGTACCTAATCACAGCTTATTGAGTACCTTCGAGTTAACAGTAAGCCTTATACAGTCTAGAGTACCTAAATGGAGTTAACAGCAAGCATCAATTATACTAGAGTACCTAAATGGTACAAAATGCAGTCGAGGGAAAGGAGGAAGCAAATTTTGCTTTCTCTCACCGCGCTTCTCCTCTATTTTTTCGCCCACTGTTTTTGCCCTGTGCCCCAACTAACTGAATGCCTGGAAGACACTAACTTCAGTGCTGTATGCTTAATAATACAGTTGCCTAAGTGCAGCCACCACAAAATGTTTAATCCCTCTTTTCACATTGTACTTAATTTAATGTTGGTACCATTCTCTCATTATGCCTCTAAGATACCAAGTCGTAACAGAACGTCTACAGGCAAGGTCACATCCATTGACTGTCACAGATTGAGAGGAAATGCAAGAGAGGGCAGGCCATAGCAATCTACTTTGACCTTAATTTTACATTTAAACTGAATCCAAACAGATCACATCTACTGGGATGCTTTTATTATAAAGACTAATAGATTTTACAGCACAGTGATTGATCACTTACTTGCTTAAAATTATATCTTGGAGGAACATTTGGTATGACACGTCCATAATCCTCAACTTTGGAATTTGTCATACAGTAGGCTAAGTCTCCAACTCTCCTAATAAAATCCCAAGCTGCCATTGTTTTGTCACTTTTGACAGTTAAGAGATCTTTCCACTCGCGCAGCATGGCTGATGTAGCAAGGTTTCGCCCTTCGAGAACATCCATACTTTTCCAAACTGGCATTATGTTGCGCAAGCTTTGGACTAGATTAGGTTCACTAAAAATTCCATCATCATACTGATACCAAATTGCTAACAAAATAAAAACAGCATAAGCATTAGCATGTCTATGCCATGAAAATAATTTTGATTTCTAATGTTCTTTCTATAAAGGAAACAGAAATAAGAAAAATTGACATTTGATTTTTTAAGTGGTCAGACCAACTTTAATCTGTGACTATTTGAATGAATTTAGTTTGCTGAAAGTGATATTTACAAGGTTGTAAGCACAACCTCAAGGTATCATGATAGCTTGGCCTTAAATGTCTCCAGCTGAGTTTTTCAATGTAGATTCCTGAATCTAATGAGTGAATTGAAAGAGTGTTTTTTTCCTAAATTCCTCCTTTATATCATTATATCATTCTATACTAGCTACTACATGGGACTTCAAATGTTAATTTAGCTGCAGAGTTTTTTTTAATTAAATTTATCCAGTACGTGTTTTTGAAATTGCAACTGGTTACATGTACCTCCAATGTGGCACCTATCCTTTGGTATACAAAGACACCTGTTCCTGTAAGGTCCAGCATGGACGATATGTTCCCACAAATATTTTCCCTCTTCTCCTTTTTCTCTTCCCATCCTGTGTACAACATATTTGTAAGGCACATTCCCAGAAACCAATCCAAAAGGAACTTGTAGCTCTCCTCTCACCAACAGAAAACCATTATCCAGGTTCCTTAAAGGCAAAAGATTCAGTAAGCAAATGCTACAAAAATTTTGACTGAAAAGATAATAAGCGTGATGTAAGTAGGTCACCTGAAAGTGCAAACTCTCCCTAGTGTTCAGTTACATGTATATTTTAACAGACAGAAACAATATTCTACAAAACACTCTGTTACGATATGTAAATTTCTGTAGCTGTAATTGTCAGTGGACTTTCTGCCGTACATATAAATTATGTATTTTGAATCGTTATTTTAGTCTTCTACCGTTAGCTGAGTGAATAAAGCTTCGAAACA